TCCAGTTACAAACACAGAACTTCCTGATTGTTCTACACAAAATCCACTAGAAGTTAAACCTCGGCAATCTGCAGGAAAGCTGTCAAATGTTTAGTCTTGCCAAAATGCTTGGGAACCTTTTAACGAGCACAGGTGTTCTCTGAGGCCTTTGGTGGACTCTTCCAAGACGAGTCTTAATGAACACACGCGAGTGAACTTTTCACCCCGAGGGAAAATTGTTCTCACTCGACAAATTACTGAATTGTCTTTGAAGAAAATAAACATTATGGAAGTCTCTAAAGATCACAAATCGAACCAAGTCTTAAGTGAGATGCATCGCAACACCACTTTTGGGGTCAAATCAATCTGTAAACGACACAGTTTACTATGTTCATCTTCATAAATATATAAATTAACTGACGATCTTATGTAAAATGGCAAGAAACTTACTTAAACAACATCTAACAGCTCTTAACTCAACACACTAAACTCTTGACACTGCGAAGTAGGAAGAACAGCTGTAGATTCATACTGAACAGCTCGTAATGTAAGAAAATTTTAGAAAAACAAATAAAAATTCTCTGAAATATCTCAATCATGAAGACAGTAAGAATATCCAAAAAATATCTATACATAACCTTATAAATATAAACAAAAATAAAACAAAACACGAGTTAGACTGAGAAGATCAGTAACCGGTTCGGGTATTCATATCATAATCTAAACCCAATATCGACGGTGGATCATTGGTGAGAAAATGGTGCCTCTGTCCTGATAACTAAAGAGATGATTGCCATTCTTAGAAACTGATATGAAGCGATAATGATATACATCACTTAATATTTTAATATAATTGCCCCTAAAATCCTTAAATTGGTACAAATTGTCGAGTTAATGTTTCAGGCGACATTTATCATTCCAGGTGAAACTCATGAAGGTAATTGGAGGTGCAATCAAGTCATTCTCTACGGAAGTGAACGTCCAGAACGCTTGTATGAAAACAATAATCCTAAACACAGTCAACTCAGAGTTAAATTTCTTGTTATTTTAAGGTATACCTCCGGGCACAGTCTCCACAACACACCAAGAAACAGGAAAGTTATCACATAAAACCACACGATATAATTTTAAACCTATCCGATGACATTCTCAGACCTATAATCAGTGAGAAGAGTGAATTCAGTGACCTACAAGACTCTAGATTCCTATAACACGGTTCTGTAACACTTAAATACAAAATTCAGTCAAAAAATTACACAGCACCCGAATTATTTGTTTTCATAATATGGTAATGGTTTCATAGTTAATATTATACAGCCAAAGATAAACATAAAAAATATAATAAATTCAAAGAATATAAATCAAACTGTGTTGTCCATTTAAAAAAAAAATAATAATATAAAGTTTAATTGGCCAGTATAAATAATTCTGACTTATTTACTGTGAGTATCTCTTGAGTCCCAACTGACAGTGATGGCTCTCATGCACTCACTCACATCTGTCAGAGGTAATACACACACAAGTACAGAGTAGGATATATAAATGTTACATCCATCAACAAACTCACAGACTTCATTATTCTTCTTTAGTAACGTAAAGAAAAGTTTAATGACAGAATAAAACAATAAATTTAAAACTACAGTAATATACGAAATGATATATAACCAAACAACACAGGGTAATTATAACACTAACAGCTTTACGAGTGACTAAGTTCTGTGCTCTGACCGGTGTTCACAGTACATTAGCCAGTCATTGGATCAATTATCAAACAGACCTTCACAATATTTAATCATGATCATGTAACTAATGATGACAGTATCTAAAACACTAAGAGGGTATAGTTCTCTTGTTTACATATAATTAACGAGATTACCGAGTCAATTAATTCTTGTAAATAAAGAGACTTACTTTTGTTAATTGATTCGTTATTACTTCCAATCTTCACTCTGTAACCGGACAAAGTCAATCCATACTAACTGAGACACAAACCCAATACACTATAGTTTATGTTCCCAGATACAATATTTACTCGGGAGTGTCAGGCAAGAAAATGTGAACTAATTCTGGTAATATAATTGATAATGATGTTTGAGGCAGCTTCTTAGACTTACAAGTAAATAAGAAATAAAAAGGAGATACGGACGTCTACTAACAATCTCTGCTAACCGAACATGGAAGGTATTTGGAAGTAGTTTTAATCAGACTTTTATCATCGCATATGCAGACTAAGAACACCCTAGTTGTTTGTTGATGTTATAATGCATTACTGCTCTTTAGTTAAGGTATTAATAATGTGTGTTTTTTGGTGTAAATATATTGTTAAATACGCTTATCATTAACAAATAAAAGAATATATTGCTTTGTATTTATAATTCTCCAGAGGAACACAAGAAATGTGATTCATATGTATATTTAAGTTATATCAATAATTATTTATAAATATTTAGAGCTACATTCATATATCTTTATATATTTATAAAAAAATAACGATGACATGGAAATGATATAACTACAGCAACTGAGATTTATTTTTATTATTTAGCAATGAAATAAATTTTATATGATTCTGAAAGATTACAAAGATTATGATTCTAAAATTGTCCATCTACCGAGCAGCGAATACACTTATAAAAACCGGCAATATGTGTGATTGCAAAGAAATGTGCACTGGCAGTAGTCGCTTCCCTAAATTATTATTTTTTTTTTCAGTATTTCAGTTTGCCTTCCCCAAATTTTGAAAAACCAGAAGCGTAACATCAACAACATACACATATCTACAGGAAGTAGCTGCATTTCACGAGTGGGATTCACACACACACACACACATGCACACTACATATGTTGTGTTAGTGATATGATGGAATACAAGGAAGCTCAATTTGTGCGATTGAATTTCCTTTCTTACCACCCAAGAAGCGCATTGAATTACCCGCTACTGCTCACACAACACAGGATGAAGGGTGGCGTGACCTCAAGATACAGGTGAGAGGCATTTCCTTATACCTGTGTCACGTTCAAAGTTTATTTTCTATTGTCGTGTTCACCAGTTTGTTTCCCGAGTGACACAAATGAACAGTTTACACCATCATGTCACCATCATATCACCATCATGTCACCATTATGTCACACCGCTTCAGCAATAACTCGCTCTGCTCTTCAGTCTCATATTCGTCACCAATTTTTCAGTGACAAGAGAGAAAATAACACAAAAACGAGCTAAAAATACATTTGAATTTACAGAGAAAACGATTTTGCTTTCGTGACGTGTGATGAGGGGAATGTGTTTTTGTGTTGATTTTTTTCCTGGTTATTTTTATTTCGTATTTTTTTATGTCATTTCCATTATTAAAAAGTGGAAAAAAAAACAGTATATTAAATTCTTACAATAAGCTCAATCTAAATTAACCAATGAGTATTCTATTTTTTTGAATCGAGTTTGTTTCGCTATTCTTTTTTTTTTCAAGGATTTTTTTTACATACATAATGAAGTGTTATTTTCACAATTCTTGGGACTCTCTCTATTAATATTTCTTGGTCTATAAATAAATCTTCTCTCTGACATACTGTACAATATTTGATGTTGAAACTTTGTAAATTTTCTGTTTAATTTTCAGTTATGTAAGAAAAAAATATACTTCTATGTTTCGCTTTAAAAGATTTCAGAAATAAGTAACATCAAAAGTTTGTGGAATCTCAAGTGTGATGCATGAAGAGTATCATTATATCCTCAGTGAATAACAATTACGATGGTTTAAACCCTTCACTACCGAGATGCCACTTTTAATAATTCATTTTGCCAGACGATTTTATTCAGTTGAGAGGGGAGCCAATACACAAGGGGTTAAGGTTATAATATGAATATAATTAATGACACATCATATACACACCTACAAAGACCTTAAGACTTGCCAAGGACACCTCATCGATCTACACTATATTCTACATAGATTTTACCAGACATACTTTATCAACCTGTCATGTTTACACCTTAAACTCCCTACCGTTTATCACAACTCCCATATTTATTTCATGACATTGTTAGACGCATTAATCACGCTGTCATATATATGTAGGTCAACGCTCGTCATATTCATGCTTGTCAGAGTTACGTCAACAATATGTCACAGAAACACTAGAAGCACGTCATCAACTGTCATACACGCGTTAATGTTTCATCAACTTGTCATATATATGTCAGAGTAATGTCAGGGATTTCTTTAATCTGTCATACTGTCATACATAAACCATGAACTAACCTGTGACATGTTACACGACATACAATCGTACAATATGAAATTGGTCAACCCATCATGCAAAAAAGGGGGGGGGGCGGAAGCAGGAGGCACATCATACATACGTTATGAACGCGTTAGGGAAACGCTGTATACACATCATGAACACGGAAAAGACTTATACACGGAGTGTATAAGACCCGATGAATATGTCACGAAAAACTCACAACCACATCATGCACTCGTCTGAGTCAAGTTATGCTCACGTAGATAACGCAGCAAGGTTACGTCACTGGCACATCATGAACACGTCAAGAACACTAAATATATAAAATATATACGAAGAAAATACATGACAGTCACGTCATGAAAGCGTGTCAGACTGGTTATGCACGCCAAGTCAGCGTAAATGGACACATTGTGCGTCATATGTACGCCAGGATTTGGAGATGTTCCAGAAAGCGTTTTTCGTCGAAGTGTTAATGAGGGCAAACACTCGTGGCCGTCACGGATGAAATACGATGGTCTCTTTACGGCTCAAGTTACCGGAAAGACCGAGACGTTCAGTGAGGAAGGTAGAGATGAAACGTATATTGGTACACACATAAACACCCACTTACATACGTGCAAGAATACATAGACACAGACACACACCAAAGATTAATTTGTCTTTATTTCTGTATAAACGTCAATCTGGAGCACACACACACACACACACACACACACACACACTGTTCTCAAACATATGAAGAAGAAAATAACAACAGGAGCATTTAGTTGACCTACCGTGGGCGTGAGGCGGTGTTCCACTAATGAATAACTCCGTGGGTTAGTTGTTGATCTGTAGTGTTGCACCTGACTTGTTGGAACACTGAATAGAACTCACACGAAATCACCAACAGTTACCTTAATTACACTTAATAGTCCAGAAGTCACCTCACAGAACTCGTGCGGTGAGGTGGTCTTGATAACCGGGGGCTTTACTAAAATCCAGTTACTGAGTCAGTCAGATTAGCCAGGTAGCTAACGAATCGATTAAACAGTCTACAGGTGAGTCAGCTATACGACCAGGTAAAAAAGCTATAAAAAAATTAACCAACGAACAAAATTACATCGCCCAAGTAAGTTAATGAGTCAACAGGAGACGATCACTGAGGAACGGTGGTAACAGGTCCAATTTTTAGAACAGACCAGAGAGGGCAAGAGTCAACCAGCATCACTAGACTGTTATTCAGAAGTTTTGGAGAAATGGAGCCAGAAATTCACTCCACCTCTCAGTAATTACATTCCCAGCATATCTTAGGCAGCAGTGTTGGTCTCCTGTTTATTAGGAGTCTGTTTGAAGCCAACAAAACACTCTGGTTCCTCGCGCGATTTTCTTCCGTTTATATATTTATATATCTATAACAGGAGGTGTATTCTGTGGAGAAGAAAATCACATTCTTTAAAGGACTGATAGTGACCAAGCTTGAGTTGTAAGTCTCCCTCCTGGTACGAGTCATTCACCTTGGAGAAAAGAAAAAACAAAGTCAATTATCCAATTAGGAGTTTAACTGAAAACCCTCCACCTCCAGAAAACAAGTCATTTATCTGATTAAGTCGCAGCGTTTAGAATTCCCAGCTCAGAAGGCGAGAGTCTCAGTCATAAATTAGTGTGAGGTGTTGGCCCTGAGGGTGTCAAGCGTCACTCGGGAGGTGGGGCGTATCTCTTGATGTTGTGTTGTGGTTGTGTTGGCACCCCACCTGCCTCGACGTGGACAACAACGCTCGCTATTTTTAGGGAAATTGTGAGAAACTCTTGTTGTTATTGCCATAAATGTTTTCCTTAAGGCTGGTGTGGTAAGTACTTGATTTCGTATGGTGATGTTTATGTTATATTATCACCAAGAACTATTTTCTGTTGACAGTTACTGAACACAAGACCTTGTTAAGGTCGTTGGCACTAACACACAATGTCAAATTTATGGATACTCTCGCGTTATTTCCTTTCTGTTAATTGTATTTTTTGTTTCCATTCTTTTTCCGGTTAAGATGCGTCTACAAGGGGTTAGATTAACAGGGTCGTTCACACACACTACAATACTTATCAATAGTTAGGAATCGTAAGAACATCATTTCATCCATTAGTTTTGGTAATATTTTTTTGTTCTAAATAGGTAATTCAAGAGCTTAATATAGTCTCACAGTACACTGGACTGTCACTGCATTTTATGTATCTATTTACTACACGAGAACAAGAGTGGAGCCATGCACGCGTGACAGACCAGCACTCCACCACAGCCCGTGAGTGAGTGAGAGAGAGAGAGCGCAGCACCGAGACACCGTTCACAACACGGTCCGATGGAACACTGGCGCCGAGCACGACTACGGTCACCTCAGGGTACAGCTCGCGTGCCAGCTGACTCCGCCCACTCGCGATCCTGGCGCCTGCTCAGAAGGGCGGATCCGGTATGGACATAGACCGCCACGCCTACTTGAAGACACTGTATAGGGTATCTTAGGTCATTACAGGTAAATTTCGAAACAGAGAGAGAGAGAGAGATTGAGAGAAAGTTTCTTTCTTTTCTTATTTCTCTCCAAAATGTTTTTCATCTCATTTTTATTTTCCCATTATCTTGCCTCTCTCTCATCTACTTCTTATCCTCTATTAACTCTTCATTTTGTTATTGTTAATATTATATTTGTATGTAATTATTATTGTTAAAAATGTTTTGTTATTTTATCATTCTCCATTATCTTATCATTCTTCCTCGTACTTTCTATTTATCTTGGTGTTATTTTCCTGTTATTGGGGTGTTATTACCGTCGTTTATTTTATCATTACTGGTGTTCTTAGTATTGTCCCGGAGTAAAAGCTTCTTATTTACGACTCATGAACGTGTGTCATGAAGCAGCTATTGATGCATCTTGAGTCCGAGGAAGAGATATAAATTGTTTTCTTTCACACACGAGCGAAAACAATTAAGCACTAGAATTTATGAATCGTTTAGACTTTTATTCTTCGAGGACAATCATTAAATATTTTCTTCATACATATTATTCTAGGTATTACTTTTTTTTACATACATTGATTTATATAACTGTATGACTGTCTTATTTGTTATGTTCATGATATTTGGGGAAAGGCTTACACATCTGTTAAGTGAATGTTATGTTTTTATTTTTCAATCAAACAATTAATGAAAATATGGAATTTGTGAGGATTTAGTTTTGTTACATTGGTAAAATTCTATTATGCAGTAAGGAACATCTGTCATATCCCCTCTAGTATACTGTACTGTACTACAAAACACAATGGTATAGAACAGATCCTTAGTAAATTATTAATGTACCATATAGTCGTATATAGAAAATAAAGTGTATATGTTGTGTGTGTGTGTGTGTGTGTGTGTGTGTGTGTGTGTGTGTTACGTTTATATTCATGTGTGTGTTTTGAAGGGTGTTCGTGCGTGTCGTAATTCTCTGCCACATTATAGATGGTATACAACCAACACAAGGTGAGCCAGGAAGACTTGGCTCTTCTCGCGCTCTCCAGAAGCCCGCACGTGACCCTTCCAGGGCCAGCAGGAGCCGCTCGCCTAAAGGGAGTTAGTTGTTTAAACCATGAGTGTTCGTGAAGTCTTGTTATTTTGGCTCTAATGATTAAATATTTTATGAGATTCAACCAATATATATCTTGCAAAATCGTCTTATTATTATTATTCTTTCTCTCAGTATCAATTTCTCTCTTCTTATCTCTCTCCTCTTATATATTACATCTCTCTCTCTCTCTCTCTCAATACAATCAACGTTCACATTCATCATCCATCAGTCTCTCCTCTTTAATGGTATTCGGTGAAGGTTCAACATATCCTCTCTCAAATATCGACCAAATTGAACATACTATTAGACTGGTCTCTGCGGTCCTTTGCAACGATTCAGACATAACACCTCGGCAGTGATTATTTTGTGGCTGTGTGGCCTTGGCTAGACCCAGTGATGTCTTTTTGATTGAATTGATGTGCACTGAAAAACGCAAGGACTTTAGTAACTTAATAAGAGTATAAAATATTCATGTTAATGTTTATAATGCATTACTGTTCTTCAACAATTGTAGTCTTTCAGCGTGTATTCTAGTTTAGTTAATACAATAATCATCCCTAATTATAGATTAAGATAGAAGTAAAGGAATGTATTACTGGAGGATAATACATTACTTACAAATATTTTATAGAGAATAAAATACATTTTAATCCTATATACCATAAATATATTTTAAATCCATGTACTTTGTTCTGAGTTATTATATATATATTTATCTTCATATCTCTCTTGAGGTATGTTATTAATAAACACAAGGTGGGGATTACAGGTACGACTACACCTGGTGAAGCTTTATTTAACTTAACTTTGAATTCATGTGAGGCCATATTACATATTGACATTTATCAAGAATTTATGATCTTCCCTTCCTCTCACCGTGGGAATAGTTAACTTCATGTGGATTTTTCTTTTCCTGTAGGTACTATTGTAATGAGTCAATAACAAACATGAGATATTAGTTCCAGCAATGATTATGTTTCTGGTATACCGAAGCCAATGTCCCCCTTTGTGCTATACAGACTTTAAAACATGAATTAAATTATGTATTTGTATTAGTCTTGTAACCAAAAATATATATATTGTAATTCCTTTGACTGAGAGATTCGTAAAAGTGAGTCTTTGAAAATTACTTCACATTGTTTTTTCTGTCATTATATTGATAAAGGTTAATTATAGAGCCTTTGTTTATTTCTCACTCTCAGAAGTAAACAAAACCAACTTGGTAGGTGACTTGGTAATTGCTCAAGGAAGAAGAAATATTATTGATTTGTGTAGTACAGAGGTCATTACTTTTAATATTCCAACGTGACCTTTCACCCAGCAGAGCTATTTTCTTTCCTCCTTAACTTCCAATCCATTTACGACTTGTCATTCTTATTCACGAACTTCTTGGTTAAAGGTCAAGGACTCATTCTGTTGTGGCTTTTACCTATGACTCACCTACACGGGTTAAGGAGACTTGTTCAGTGTTATGAATAATCTGAGTATTGAATAAACTATTATCTACGAAGTTTCTGTTATCCTGTTAATTGAAATAAAGTAAAAAAATAAAAATATTGTGTGACTGTCTTGAATAACTGACAAGGAAATTAGAGTTTTGACGAATTAATGAATCACTGTAAAGAAAACAACAATATCTCATTAACTGAGTCGATAATTCTGAGGTCAACATCCATAACTAGGAATATATTACGCGAATTATTAATAAATTATGTGTAATTATCTTCATATCACAGCATAATATATACTTGGTGATAAGATTTCGTAGCTACAGAGAAGATCCAAAACAATTACAATTTTCATTTAGACCTAACCTAACCTAACATGACCTGACCTAACCTAACATAACCTAACCTAACCTAATTAAAGATCATTTCGACTTGAGTCACGTTGTAAGTGAAGAATGAAAACGACATAATGAATAGGCCTGGGTAGACGAGTCTGTCAGCCAGCTATAGCGTGACTCTCTCCGTCGGTCTAACACTAGCAACGCGACGAGGAAGAATGGAAAGTCGTCTCGCGTGTGGAAGTGTTCGATTTTTTTTTATTCGCCTCTGCCGAGCTGAACTTCACGACGCCACACACTGTAAAGTACGGAGAGATTCCCGGCTAGATAATGGAGCGAACGGGTGAAAAGAGCAGCGTATGATTTAATGGTGCAGCAAACAGGTGAAGGCAGTGATGTGTGGCTTAATGGTGCAGCAAACAGGTGATGGCTGTGTTGTGTGGTTTAATGGTGCAGCAAACAGGTGAAGGCTGTGATGTGTGGCTTAATGGTGCAGCAAACAGGTGAAGGCTGTGATGTGTGGCTTAATGGTGCAGCAAACAGGTGAAGGCTGTCATGTGTGGCTTAATGGTGCAGCAAACAGGTGAATGCTGTGTTGTGTGGCTTAATGGTGCAGCAAACAGGTGAATGCTGTATTGTGTGGCTTAATGGTGCAGCAAACAGGTGAAGGCTGTGATGTGTGGCTTAATGGTGCAGCAAACAGGTGATGGCTGTCATGTGTGGCTTAATGGTGCAGCAAACAGGTGATGGCTGTCATGTGTGGCTTAATGGTGCAGCAAACAAGTGAAGGCAATGATGAATAGATGTCAAATTACTGTCTCCGACCATTTATGAAATTTATCGTTCAATAAGGTCACTTTCGGTAAATCACTTTGTCTATTACGTTCATCCACCACGTCAACTCTTCATGTTCATCCACCACGTCAACTCTTCATGCTCATCCACCACGTCAACTCCTCATGTTCATCCACCACGTCAACTCTTCATGTTCATCCACCAGACAATCGGAAGTCAGGTGAACATTAGCCGTATATGACCGAGACTATGAATACCTCTAGGATATAACGTTACCTAACCTAACCTAACCTAACCTAACCTATGTATACACAACTAAAGATCTTAGTTTTTGAAGTGAATTAATACATTATAATATTGATAACGCCTCTACCAGTTCACAGAAATGTATATGGTTTCTATATTTCTCTGTGGTATATAATATTTCTTTATTGACCACAGAAGAGACCCAAATTTATATTGTTATCAAAGAAGAAGATAATTTGATTAATATTATTGTTTATTAGTCTCGTCGCCAGGACTAAAACGGCTTCCTACGTCGGTCAGAAATATAATGATCACTTTCACTCAAAAAAAGAAAATGCCTCTACTGTGCATTGAAACTCATTGCATTGCTTTTATATTACGTTTTACATCCCCAAAAAACTTAAATTCATTGTTTCCCTTTAATTCATTATTCATTTCATCATTGTTTAATATCACCATGGTCATTTATAATATACTGTTCCTCCTTTATAGCAAACCTTTGTTATTTGACATTGATGAATTTCTAATTACTGTCTATTTAAACGCTCCGCTTTAACCGTTCTTTGTGGAAGGTCTTGAAAAGAGTTGACTCCCGTTCCTCTGCGAGTCTCCTGTCAGTAATAATAAATATACTCGATCAAACCAAAATTACTATCTCGCTTTACTAGTCTCGTCAACTTAGTGTTACTGTTCATAGGAATAAGACTACGACCACGCTGTAGGTAACGGTAACGCTGTATGTGACGGTGACGCTACAGGTGACGGTGACGCTACTGGTGTGGTAAGTTGCGAAAACATTATCGTCTTACTATTTAACACAAGTCACTTCACTGGTGTATCTTATGTGTAAACAATTAGTGCCCAAGAAGTAAAGTCTATTTGTTTAACATTATTTACATTAGTCTCACAGAATCACCTTCACGATAACACAGAGTTGTATTT